GTGAGTGTCTGTGTGAGTGTTTGTGCGATTGTCTGTGTGAGTGTCTGTGCGAGTGTCTGCGTGTGTGACTGTGTGAGTGTTTGTGTGAGTGTCTGTCTGTGTGTCTGTGTTCGGCAAAACAACCCCCTACCTCCTCGCGGTGCTGGACGGGTAACTCTGTCGTGGACAGTGCTGTGGGGGGAGGGCCAATTCCGATTGGCTCCTCTCCTCATGGCGTCTGTGACCACCACAGTGGCTAAACGGGGACTCTGTACGGGTGCGAGGGGCTGGTAACCCCTCCACCTTCAATAAATTACCACTAAACCACGAATTAAATATGTAACTAATAAGCTTGTGCCGGAGGCCCCGGGGGGACAGACATCTATGACGTCTCCTGGCCAAACCCCATTTGGCGGAGCCAGGAGATTGAATCTCTACCCTCAGGGCTCCTTCAGAAACAACGAAAAGCCACTACGGATGGCCACGTGGAATGTTCGAACGCTCACTGCGGAGGAGAAGCTGCCACTGCTCTGTCGGGAGCTGGACCGGTACCGCCTGGATCTCTGTGGCATTCAGGAGGTCCGGTGGACCGGTTCTGGCTCCTGCCACCATGAGGGGTGGACAGTCCTCTACTCGGGGCAGCAGACTGTCAAACAACAGGGTGTGGCTCTTCTTTTAAACAAAATAATGAAGGGAGCGTGGGAGCGTGGCGATGAGGTGTGGGAAGCTGTAAGCCCCAGGCTACTTTGGGCTCGCCTTCCCATCAACTGGAGGCGAGGAGTGGTGGTCGTGGTTACTTATGCCCCCACCAAAGGCGAACATCCGTGGAGGGATGCAGGCAAAGCCGATGAGTCAGATGCCTTCTATGACCTCCTGTCACAGGTGCTGGCCAAAGTGCCCCCTCGGGATAGTCATCTTGTTGGGCGACTTCAATGCCCGAGTTGGTCATGATGCTGGCACCTGGTCTGGAGTAATTGGAGGGCATGGGCCAGATCAGCTCAATAACAACAGTAGGAGGCTGCTAGATTTTTGTGCAGCCCATGGGCTTGTAATTACCAACACGCTGTTCCGGCATCGGCGCATCCACACAACATCATGGATGCATGCCGAGTCCAAGCAAGAACATCTGCTGGACTACATAGTGACGGACCAGCGGAAGCGAGCCCATGTCCTTGATACCAGGACCTACCGTGGAGCTGATCTGCCCTCTGACCATCGACTAGTCATCTGTAAGATGCGCCTGCCATTCTTCCACTCCGGTGGTCGGTGTACACCCAGGACCCCATTCCAACCTAAAGTGGCCTGGTCTCAGTTATCTGATGAAAGTTGCAAGCGAGAATTTCATCGCTTGTGGCTGGGGTTGGCATCGTCCCCCACTCCTGATGTCGAGGGTAAATGGGCGAGGTTTAGGACTGTGACTCATGCAGCTTCAATGGCTGATTTGGGTACACGGTCCAGACCTCCCCAGAGACCCTGGCTAACAGAGGAGGTGTTCAGGATGGTTGAGAAAAACCGACAGGCCCACTGTCATCGGCTACAGAATCCCACGTCAAGAGAATGAGGAGGCTTACCGCAGCCTTCGCTCGGAGGTTCGGAGAGCCGTGAGGCGCTGCAAGGATGGGTGGTGGTCGCGGGTTGCTGAGGAGATGGAGTCTGCCTCAGTGGCCCGTGATCACAAATCTCTATTTAACTCCATCAAAAAAGTAACCTGCAGCGCCACACCTATTACCATCATTAGGGGAAAAAACGGTGATCCAATCTCCGACCCCCAGGAACAGGTTTGCAGATTTGCTGAGCATTTCTGTGAGGTCCTGGGGGAGGGAAAATCCCTCAGCCAGGAAAACATCGTGGCACAAAGTGAGGATGACCCTGCTGAGTCTGCAGTGCCTCAACTATTGTAAGAAGTCATCCCCTGCGAGTGGCTGGCTGAGGTGCCATCTGTTGAGGAAGTACTGAAGGCGATCCAGAGTCTGAGACCAGGAAAGGCACCGCCCAGAGATGATCTCCCAAGCGAAATGCTGAGGGAGGGTGGAGTTTGTGCACAGACTGCCATATATGACATCATAACAACAGTCTGGACCACTGGACGGGTTCCACAGGATTGGAAGGATGCCCTGGTGGTCCCCCTCTTTAAGAAGGGGGACCACACAGACTGTAACAACTACAGGGGCATCTCACTCCTCAGTGTGCCGGGAAAGGTCCTGGCAAGGATTATTCAACATCGCCTTGCCAGGCACGCTGAGGAGAGGCTTGCGGAGCCCCAATGCGGTTTCAGGAAAGGGCGGTCATGCACAGATGCCATATTTTCTGTCCGTCTGCTACAGCAGAGGTGTAGGGAATTCCAACAAGACCTACATCTCTGCTTTATTGACCTGGTCAAGGCGTATGATACCATCAGTAGGCCTGGGCTCTGGGTTGTTCTTCGTGCTTTTGGAGTCCCTGACCCTCTGCTCACGATCATTAAGGACCTTCATGATGGTGAGCGGGCCCGGGTAAAACTACGTGGCCAGGAGTCAGAGCCATTTCCTGTACACCTTGGGGTGCGACAGGGATGTCCTCTGGCTCCCACATTATTTAACATCTATTTTGACCATGTAGTTCATGAAGCCTTCAATAGCTGTACCGGGGGAATCTCCATTTGGTACAGATATAATGGGAGGCTGATCGATGCCCGGGTGCGGTCAAGGGATGGCTCCCTATTGCTCAACCACGTTATGTATATTATGAGACCTCCTTTGCCAGTAACAAGATATAGGAATAGGTTTTACCCTTTTAAATGGCACAAAAACTGACACCTTTATTCAAGGCATCATGTTTGCAATAACCACAACACAAGCAGTCAAAATGCAAACAAAAAAGACAACTCTGATAATAAAATGCACTGTCCTTGAATTTGATTGGCCCACACCCGAGACAGCTTTTCTTAGAGCCTAGTCTCCATTGGTGTTGGACCAGAAGACGCCAAAAGGCGTACAACTCAAAAACAGCGCACTATCAGAGTATTGAGGGCTCGGGGTGAGCATGTACATTATGAGACCTCCTTTGCCAGTAACAAGATATAGGAATAGGTTTTACCCTTTTAACTGGCACAAAAACTGACACCTTTATTCAAGGCATCGTGTTTGCAATAACCACAACACAAGCAGTCAAAATGCAAACAAAAAAAGACAACTGTGATAATAAAATGCACTGAGAGTTGTCTTTTTTGTTTGCATTTTGACTGCTTGTGTTGTGGTTATTGCAAACATGATGCCTTGAATAAAGGTGTCAGTTTTTGTGCCATTTAAAAGGGTAAAACCTATTCCTATATCTTGTTACTGGCAAAGGAGGTCTCATAATGTACATGCTCACCCCGAGCCCTCAATACTCTGATAGTGCGCTGTTTTTGAGTTGTACGCCTTTTGGCGTCTTCTGGTCCAACACCAATGGAGACTAGGCTCTAAGAAAAGCTGTCTCGGGTGTGGGCCAATCAAATTCAACACTGTTGGCAGCACCAAACCAGAAGTGGTAATTCAACATTTTCATTGTGGAGGCAGATCTCCCCCGACGATGACTTCCTACAAAGTAACAAACTTGGTTCGTCTACTTCGAAGGAACAATCGTTTTGAGACGTCAATCAGCAGGAACTTAAACTCACAACCTGCCGATTATCAGTTGAGCATTATAACCACCAGGTCACCCGGCCTGATCATTTTTACAGTAAGGGACAGCAATGAGTCCATAATACATAAGGTGCATTCACACGACAGTTTGAGATGAACACAAGATGTAGCTTACCACAAACACATACTTGACCAAAAGGTGTAAAATATTTAAAATGTAATATTGTATTCTGATTTTAAAAAATAGTTAGAGACCGTTATTGTTCAAAATAGCTCATCGTCCTGATATGTGAATCCACGCACGCGCACACACACACGATTAAATGCCTCACATCAGCACCATCAGGTCAGGCTGATGCATGATTATACAGTAGGTCAATCCAACAACTGTACGCCAATGCAAAATCTCTTCAGGGAGAAATGTTTACGTGGAGGGATGAGCTAGCATTCAAATCAATACTTATCCTGTACGCCTTAACTCAACCCAAGCCCTCCATGTTCAAGGGTCAAGTCACTTCCTCAGTCAATACAAACCCAGCACTGAGAGCCCTGCTGAAGTAAAATCTGTAATCTCATTACTTTTGAGAGAAAAAAAGTATGTACGCTGTCACATTACATAAAGAGCTGGTGTTCATAGCCTGTTATACAAAGTGTACACACAGCTGGGTCCGGAAGGTAGTGAAACAGTAATCATAGGGAGCCTCTCACAACGTTTAAGTAGAGTAAACAGCAACGAGGAATGTGTGGCGTTTGTTCTGTCTAGATAACGGGTGATGGATAAACAAATCAACAAAGACCTTCCTCCTCTCCAATACCATCCCCATAAAAAGTGATGCTACTCAACAGATGGTCGGTGGTTAAATCTGGTGACAGGAAAAAGAGGAAAGACAGCACACTGCAGCCAAGGCTATTGCACAAAAAGCCCAAAACAGACTTTAATTCTACAAGTGCCAATACAGGAATATATAAAATGACGTAATTTCATTAAACGTTCTATCTTACCAATGAGAGCCGATTAATATTCATTATCTATTTTTGTAAGTGAGATGGGAGGCACGGACACATTAAAATCTGCGATGCATACAAAGGTGCGCTGTGAAACAGTGTGCTTCATAATTAACGCATGAGAGAAAAAGTTAGTATGGAGACGGAAGAGTTTGCCGTAGACACTGCGAGTGCATACGAGAGACGTTGACCGTCGATGGAAAACATGGGACTGAGCAAGATAATGAGAGTGAAGTTGACAGTCATGGTTTTCCAGTGTTGCCTGCAACTGGTAAAGTCAGCTTTCATTTGTACGTCCATGTCAATAGCTGGACAGTGTCACCAACACCGATCGTCGGCAAAAAAAACTGAGACTCCACCATATTTGCACTGCGTGCAAACGTAAATATCTGAGCGGACACGTGGGGAACTCACCGATGTGTACATCCAGTGCCGCCGAGGCCTTGTCTGTGCTTGGGTCCCGTACGAGGAGAACACGCATGCCATTATTCAGCTCAAGGCCACGATACTCCCTCCGATCCTCCACCGACTTCACAACGTCCTCAGCTACGGATCTCACGGCCACCGAGGCCGTCATGGTCATGTGACTGGAAATTAACCTGGTGGAACAAATCCAAAATCGAGCAGCCACACAAAGCTGGTGTTAACGGTGTGTCCCGGTTCTCATATCGACATTTAGCACGTTATTTATGTGAATTGATGTATACTATCTATGAATTAATATATTGTAAAAAAAAACCGAGGTGGTCATTAACAAGATGACAAGAAAACAATAACACCAACACGATGAGTAACACCAACAGTGAGGCAATGCCAGCAGCAGTGTTGACAAAGAAAACCAACCATGACAATAAACGTGATAGTATAGTAATAGAATACTTCAATACTATCACAACAAACGCCAAATAAATGAGCACGTCCACCTATCCGAATGCCTCGTCACAATCAATAACTTTAAATACGAAATCCATTATCAATGGCACTAAAAGCATCACCAAACCAAAGTCCAAAGATAAAATAAATGGCTAACAGCCAACTCCAGTGGTCCTTATATATAAAAAAATATAATAATCAGTGGCTATACCGATGATCATAGCCACATGACCATTAACCCCAATGTCACCCTTATCACCTCCTAGAGCAACAGCGTTGACGTCAGCAGTACAGAAACTCAGATTGCCACCACCAACAATACCCGACATCACTGACACTACTGGAACGACTTACATATCAGTACTTAAACCACTCACGTCCACACCAAATACAGCAAGAACACCTCTGATGCCACCAAACACACTACCATCACTGACGCCATTATTGACGCTTCCACCAAAAATCCCTCCCACAATCACCGATTTACACCACCACCACTGACCATGACTTCACCATCAATCACTGACACTGCTCATGATACCATCACCAGCACTGACAATGACTTCACCATCAATCACTGACACTGCTCATGATACCATCACCACCACTGACAATGACTTCACCATCAATCACTGACACTGCTCATGATACCATCACCAGCACTGACAATGACTTCACCATCAATCACTGACACTGCTCATGATACCATCACCACCACTGTCAATGACTTCACCATCAATCACTGACACTGCTCAAGATACCATCACCATCACTGTCAATGACTTCACCATCAATCACTGACACTGCTCATGATACCATCACCTCCACTGACGATGACTTCACCATCAATCACTGACACTGCTCATGATACCATCACCACCACTGTCAATTACTTCACCATCAATTACTGACACTGCTCATGATACCATCACCACCACTGACGATGACTTCACCATCAATCACTGACACTGCTCAAGATACCATCACCACCACTGACAATGACTTCACCATCAATCACCTACACTGCTCAAGATACCATCACCATCACTGTCAATGACTTCACCATCAATCACTGACACTGCTCATGATACCATCACCACCACTGACAATGACTTCACCATCAATCACTGACACTGCTCATGATACCATCACCAGCACTGACAATGACTTCACCATCAATTACTGACACTGCTCATGATACCATCACCACCATTGACGATGACTTCACCATCAATCACTGACACTGCTCATGATACCATCACCTCTACTGACAATGACTTCACCATCAATCACTGCCATTGCTCATGATACCATCACCAGCACTGACAATGACTTCACCATCAATTACTGACACTGCTCATGATACCATCACCACCATTGACGATGACTTCACCATCAATCACTGACACTGCTCATGATACCATCACCTCTACTGACAATGACTTCACCATCAATCACTGACACTGCTCATGATACCATCACCACCACTGTCAATGACTTCACCATCAATCACTGACACTGCTCATGATACCATCACCACCACTGTCAATGACTTCACCATCAATCACTGACACTGCTCATGATACCATCACCACCACTGACAATGACTTCACCATCAATCACTGACACTGCTCATACCATCACCACCACTGACGATGACTTCACCATCAATCACTGACACTGCTCATGATACCATCACCACCACTGTCAAATGACTTCACCATCAATCACTGACACTGCTCATGATACCATCACCTCCACTGACATATGAACACCGATGCCAACACCACCATCAACAACACCATCACTGCCCACCACCAAGGCCATCAACAGGCACCACTAACACCATCGTCACGGACACTATCACCACTGATGACACCACCACCACCACCCTCAGTGATGACACCACCACGACTAATGAAATAACTTATCGAAATACAACCACCACCCCTATCTCCGACACTATCAGCACCGCTGGTGGTACCACTCCGAACAATATAACTACGGCCACTATAACCACACCACCATCTGGGCGATGTTGGGGGACCCTGTTGCCGTTCACCTCTTCACGATCACATCACCACCACACCACAATCACACCATCACCCGCATAATCTTGGGTGACTCTGTGACTTTCACCTCTTCTCCATCACCAACCACCACCATTACAATAATCACCACCACCACCCGCATGATCTTGGGTGACTCTGTGACTTTCACCTCTTCACCACCACATCACCTCTTCACCACCACATCACCTCTTCACCACCACATCACCTCTTCACCACCACATCACCTCTTCACCACCACATCACCACACCACACCACCACCCCCACGATGGTTGGTGACCCTATCTGAGGGACTCGCGCACGTGAGCGGCCTCGTCCGAACAGGCCGCACGCCACGACCACCACCACCACCCTCATCAGCGCTACATCATCACCACCATCACAACCACCATCAACCACCACCACCACCACCACAATCGCCACCACGGGGTCACGGGGCCCCTCTGCTCCCCCCACTCGCCTCCTCGCCGGGTAGCCTCGCAGCAGCAGCAGCGACCGCCCGCACCGCGGTAGAAGTGGCAGCATCCCCCGGGATCGATCCGCGAATCGGTATCTTGAAATCGATTCCCCCACTGCGTTAAATGCGCGGTGCGAGCACTTCGTGACGGTTCGACGAATCGATTCTAGTGACTCCGCCGCACAGTTATTGCGGAATCGACAACGGTGGTGGCAACGTGTCACCTGATTTCGTTTGACAGTCTTCAGTTAAACATTTTTTTCTCTCCCATAAATACTCTGATAACGATTGTTTTTACGTGCCGATTAATTTATATTACACTCCTATGACAGTATTAAACATGTCACAGATAACCTTCACTCGTACCTGTCAACTCGTACAGTTTACCCCGTATTCTTGTACAGGGAAATTGAGTTTTGACTTAAAACTTTCGTGACAGCAAAAAATATGGAAATTGAGTTTTCAGGTTCATGCGGCGCACAGCCGTTTTAATACGGGGAAAATTTAGTTTTGTCTATTTGTCTGTGTTTCTCCCTTGTGATGGGGCTTTGTAGGATTAACGTTGAGATTTATAAGGGGCACGGGGTGACCAATAAGGTCTAAATCTGGCTGTAATAAGGCAGGGCACTGATAAGGGGTTGGCAGCTATGATCACTGTAGACTGTAGAGAGATAACGCGACCTTTATTTTCGTGAATGCTCGGAATTGTTATGTTTAGTTGCGGCTACTTGATAGTTTATATTGCTTTAGCTCCACAAGACTTTCCTGCACAATTACTGACAAATATGTTGGGAGTATTTTCGATTTAAAGCTTTCGTGACTGCAGGGATTCATATTATTGGTTCTTTCGGTAAAGTCAACACAAGCAATCATTATCACCTGATGATGATTGCTTGTGTTGCAATCGAAACGTCGTGATAATTTTTTATTTATTATTTCCCTTCTACGTGACTTTACCGAAAGAACCACGAATATGTTGGGAGTCTTGTCAGTTCATGAGGCACCAATATTGTACTTCTTTTACATTTCAATCTTTAATGCACTAACATATACGTACCGATATTAATATTAAATGTTTACATAAAGTTTTAGTGTTAGTAACGAGCTCTCAGTTCGATTTGTGTTGTCTCCACTTGGAAAGTGGTTGCCCATGGATGGCGCCTGACACCTCCTTGCTTGGCAGTCATAGGAATGTGGAATTTCCACCAATGACCAGGGGAAACCAGACCATTTGACACGGGGAGACATTTGACTTGAATGAAGGCGGCAAATGTGTGCCCTATCTCAATGTGAACGCAGAGAGGAACCGATGTTGTGTGAGTTTCGTGTGATCAGCAACCACACAGACACTCACACACCACCGTGTTGTGTGATTCGTGTGAGCAGCACCCACACACTCACACAGCACCGTGTTGTGTGAGTTTCGTGTGAGCAGCACCCACACAGACACTCACACACCACCGTGTTGTGTGAGTTTCGTGTGAGTAGCACCCACACAGACACTCACACAGCTCCGTGTTGTGTGAGTTTCGTGTGAGCAGCATCTCACACAGACACTCACATAGCACCGTGTTGTGTGAGTTTCGTGTGATTAGCACCCACACAGACACTCACACAGCACCCACACAGACACTCACACAGCACCCACACAGACACTCACACAGCACCGTGTTGTGTGAGCAGCACCCACACAGACACTCACACAGCACCGTGTTGTGTGAGCAGCACCCACACAGACACTCACACAGCACCGTGTTGTGTGAGCAGCACCCACACAGACACTCACACAGCACCGTGTTGTGTGAGCAGCACCCACACAGCACCACCCACACAGCACCACCACCTCCCCCCTCCACGATTCTCCAGCCTGGCACATTTCTTTGGTTTCCTAAATCGATCCAGAATCGATTCTGAAATCGAAAAAGTTCGGAATCGACATTGGCCCAACGCGCCTGAACCGGCGCGGGATATTGAATTCCCCACTGCACACACGCGGGTGCGCCCTCGCCCCGCCCACCCCCCCGCCCCCGTCGCCCCCCCTCCCTCCTCACGTCGCCCCCGACGCCGTCCGTCAGAGCGATTGGCTCGGCTCGCGTCGCTGTGCCCGCTGGTGGGGGAGGTTGGCGGGTGGGGGTGGTGGGGGAAGGGTGGGGGTGGTTGGAGGGTGGGGGGAGGGTGGGGGTGGTTGGAGGGTGGGGGAGGGTGGGGGGAGGTGACGTAAGCGCGAGGTGAATGAAGCCCCCTTTGGTTTTGATGTTTTTTTGGTGACTGCATTACGCAAAAGGCGCACGGCTTTTATTCTGCCACGGGAGTTGCCAAAAACATAGACGTGGCGGGTTGTTGTTTTTTCTCTGTGTGTAAATATCAGTGGTGCACTTAGCGTTGATGCAATTCCTCGCGCCGATAGCATTTACTGTGAACCCAGCAAGTGATTGGCATGGTGTTTAAACCGACTGTTTTTACATTCACGTGGCACTGGTGGGTGAGAGGGCATTTAATGCTTAACGATACAAATTCTCAATCATTCAATTTATTTTTTAGTAAAAACTCGCACCCCAATAAAGAGGGCATCGCAATGCTTGGCAGTATACATTAAATGAAGGAAGTCCTACCCAATAAAATCAAGACACATGTAAAAATATAAAAATGAGGGCACATACTTCCTGAACGAATAACGTGACACCGCTGTACACATGTTATAAACCAAATACCTGGTGGATAATGCTTTTGTACAAATTGCCTAAATCGTAAAGACTTCTTGTGACTAACTATGGCATTGCAATAACATATTCTGTTGATATTTTTAGAGTTTTATCAGCAGTATATCCTGAAAATGTGGGTCAATGAACCTACAGTATTAGCTTTCTGAAGCAATGGGCTTCTCTGGATCAAGAGGCTGATGGACCTAGAGTTGGACTTAAATTTGCAGATAAGCTGATGAGAATCTAATGCAGGATTTCCCGTTTCATCAAATGCTGCTGAAAAACATTGGACTTACTGTTGTTTTTTTCCGTGGTGAATGAACAGACCATTGGCCCTTTTGTTATTTCCTACAATCCATCACGACAGTTAAAGTAAAGGTTTTTGAATGCTTACGTCGGCCTGGATTAAAGGAAAAATCGAATGTGGAGGGATAGGAAATTATTCATAATAAAGGTTTTTTGGGTTAGATCGCGTTTATTTATAAATGTGTCGTAACCCTCCACCACCCGACACGGCCAATCAGCAAAAAAAGTGTCACGTTGACAAAGGACAAATAATTCACTACTTTAGCCCACCGGTGTGTTGAAGAGTGAATCCACATTTACAGTTTGAGTACGACGTTTCGCTGGTAAATACATCCAGCATCATCGGGCAATTCGCCAGAATGGTAAAGCCCTCGCTTGCTCCCGGTTTTATATAGAGCAGCAGGGTGACGTCATCACTTAACTCATATCAGGTGCAGTGATTAGGGAATTATGTTGATTTTATTGTTGCTAATTTATTGTTGCATTAAATATATTGGAATGTCAAAAGATGTGTTTTGTATCCACGCCATTTACACAAAACAGACTCACTTCACCTCTGAGATGGATCACCATGATGTATCGAGGTTGTTTTACTACTTTGTGTCTGGGTATTCACCATGTGTATTCCATTCAACTTTTTTTCCCCTAGACATTTAGCCCTGAGCTAACATAGGCCAGTAAAGAATAAATAAATCCATATTTTTATTATTACATTTCATCCAGTCAATTATGTCTGAGACACACATGAAAACCTATTTAATCTCTGAGGCTGCTTGAATCGAAATCCAGGATCTCAGCTGTTCTGCCTCAACCCTCTGACATCACGATAGAATCAGGTTCTGAACCCATCGAGAGTATTCATCCTTACTCTATTGATCCTGTCTGTTCACACCATCGTATTACCGGTTTATAGCTGGTACACGATGTGTTGTGTATGAGCTATGTTGTCACAATATGTTTAATATAATACCGTATTCTTCTACCATATGGAGTTGAAAAGTACTCTGTGATGAAGATTGACCCATTTGGAATCTGTGGAAAGAAATTAAAACGTTGATTGAAAATCTAAAATAGTTCCAATATGAATGCACGCAACTGATATTCTGATGTTTTAAATATGTATAAATAATTCTATGACAGGACCTGAACATATTCTGTTACTCAAAATCAAACATCTTGGTTATTTTATGTTTTCTCTCCATTAATGTTGTCAGTAAGATGGTAGCATGAGTAAATGGGGTGCCGTGGTGGTAAGTCAACTCCCTCGCCTGGTAGGCAGGAGGTCGTGAGTTTGATCCCGACGCCTGCTGCTGTATATTTGGAGTTTGCGTGTTCTTCTCGTGGTCGCGTAGATTTTTTTATCTGGGTCCTCTGATTTTTCCCTCCAGATTTAGATACATGCGTTTAATTTATTTACATTATTTAGTTGCTATAAATGTCCACATGATAGGCCACTTCGTTCAGCTAGCTATCATTTGTGGCCAGGTTACTTCTTAAAAAGAGCTATATAGCTCAGTGGGCCTTACCCGGTAAAATAAACATGTTTAGTTTCACAGTTTAGTTTTAGTACTATGGGGAGGGGTGTTATTTTAGTTTTCTGGGTAACGTGATTAAGTGTCTTCAGGGACATCACCAAGTCCATCTGGAATCCTGGAGACAGGACTAATTACGCAGTGCATTGCTAATTAATTGTGCTGGGCATTACCAGAATAGATAATGCCTGCTGTGACCTATTTAACATACAGTAGAGATTATCATTGAGAAAAATATATCCCTGCCGTAAAATTCTGATGCTAAGATACAGTTTTTTGCATGCGCCATATCAGGGCACTATATACTACAACATAAATACAGTACGTACACCACTTAGGTGTATGTGGTTGTTCTTTGTACTACCAGAGCCATACATAACACAATGCTATTAAGGCTGTGCAACATTCACAACTTTAAACTAGTTTCCGAAGAAGATTGAATTGGATAATAACTATTGCAGTATATTGTTCACATGCAATAATACCAAGGAGTCTATTATGTCCAAACATGTATCGATTAAGCTCTCAAAATGAGTAACAATTCCCTGTTTCGTACTTTCCAATGCTTTTTGAAAT